GGGAGGACGGATGGTGGCACGGCGAGGAGGGAGGAAAGAAGTCGAGGGCCTGACTAGCCCCGAAGGAAGGCTAAGTCCAGCCATGAGGAAGAAAGCGGCACTTACAGGTCGCTGCAAAAGTCCAGGCGGGCAGGCAGCGGATCAGTTTAACGAGTTGGTGCTCGGAGGCTATGGTAGCCTGCAAGGCACTGGTTGCCTTGAAGTCCATCACTCACCCTCCCCTGCGGCGTCGAAGTCCAGTAGGGAGATTGGTATGGAAGACCGTACGGCCAACCACACAGTCACTGCACGGAAGCAGTGATGAATAATCCCGGTTTCGGAGATGGTAGCACTCGGGATTTTGATGCCAGTGGGAGCCGCTGGAGGTAGAATGGCTCACCAGGTCAATTGGGTGACGGTATGTAGCTGCAGGGGCAGCGGGAAGAACAGGAGGAAGAGGAGCGTAGTCCTCAGGGTTGGTATTCACTCCGATAGATCGGAGATTCGAAGGAGATCTAGAGGATGAAGGGGCTCCACCGGGAAGTCGAGCACCGATGGAGGAGGACGAACCCCTGGGAAGTCGAGCACCAGGAGCTGGCAACTGAGTGAAGGAGGAAGGCAGGGTGCTTGCGGCAGGCTGCGTGGTCCCAGAATCGGGCGAGGAATGCACATCCAGAACCCCGGGAAATCGAGCACCGAGGCCTGGGAACACGTACGCAACTAAGCCTAAGAACCTCCTAAGGAAGGACCTAAAACCCTCGTAGGCTAAGATCACAACCGTAAGGTACACTATAACCCAACCCCAACCCTCAGGCTCAGGAGAGCCTTGCCCTTTCAGAAGCAGGGCACAGCATGCCAGCACTGCAGCTAGCCGCAACCTACAATCCTCAGACGGATTCTTAACCCCTAAAAACGGCAACATGTCGCCGAACTTTGAGGCTGTCATCGCCTTTGTAAGGATATCAGCGGGCATCAGCAAGCCGCTTAAGTGATAAACCGTCCAAACACCATTTTCGATCCTTTCACGTAGGGCATGGGACCTAAGTCTTAAGTGGCGGGATCTCCAGGAAGTTGGGGGGCCGCTTACAATGCTTATTGCTGAAGAATTATCTCCGAAGAGGGATCGAGTAAGGGGCTCTGGAAAGATCTCCCCAATCAAAGCCTCAACAGCTTCAGCTGCTTGCACAACACAGACGTAGCTGATCAACTCGCTCTCAGCGGTTGACAGAGCAGTCAGCGTCTGGCGGCCGGATTCCCAGTGGAGCGGAGCTCCAGCCCAGCACACTAGCAGACCCTGGTGGGATCTGCCTGAACTTGGCCCAAAAGAGGCGTCTGCAAAAGCATGCAACGTCGTTTCAACGACCGGCCTCGGATACTGTTGAGAGGCCCCGCAATCACCAGGAGGAGGGCCATACACAATGCACTGGGAGGGTGAGGAATTCAAGAAACGCAACACTCCCTGCCCAATGCTTAGCGCATCCTTTGGCCTCTTGGTGGTCAATTGTGCCATGCGGCTGACTGGAAAAGACAGCTCGGGGCGCGCTCGAACTGAGAGCCACATATGCTTTGAGCGGCCTTAACCGCTTCCGGATCAACCGGGTCATCACGGCTTTCGCCATCATCGAAGTTGGCTGACCACGCGGCACATGGAGACTTGGCACTCCCCTGTACGTTGTGCCTCTTCAAGAGTTCCTTGATGTACTTGGTCTGCCCAATCAAGAGACCATCAGCAGACTCCGAAATCTCAAGACCGCAATATTCAACTGGGCCATCTTCAGTATGCGTAAATGCGCTGCACTCCCATGTGGCCTTGATTTTCTCAAGAAGAGCAGATCGCTCCGACCAAGGTCCCAACACTAGGAGGTCATCGACATACCAACACATCAAGGCAACAGTCTCACCGCAAGAGGATTTGACGAGCCAAATGTTGGGGTCAGCAACACACTGTTGCAAATGGCGATTCTCGCCATCAACGGTCCAGGTCAGGACTCTGCAGGTTTTGTCCCGGAGGCGGGACCAAGCACGAGGTGAGGTCTGGAGTCCATAGAGAGCACCGTGGACTCTCCACTTGTAGCCCCTCGGGATAACTCCCGCGGCATACAGCACCTTAGGTGGATTGCAGATCAGATACTCTGCCTCCTGCTCATCAAGAGGAGCGTTGAGGAAGGCAGTCTTGACATCAGTTCCTGAACCACCGTGCTTCCTCATGCCCGCCCATCTCAAGGCCGTGCGGATCGAAAGAGAATCCGCTCCTCCGGCATAGAAGGACTCTGCCGCCCTTTCCTCGGACCACTTTTGAAAATTGCCGCAAATTACAGCTCTATACTTATTTCTCTTAGTGGATCCGGGAGCTACAGGGGGCTTTTCAGTGGCAACACCCCGGCCGGGGAGGATCTCTACATCTTCACCATCTAAAATCCATTTTTCAACTTGACTATCTGCCACAAGCTCAACAGCACCCTTCGAAATCAAGGAATCGCACTCTGCTTTCATGGCATCCCGCCATTCATGCAGTTTCTCACGGACTTCCTCATTCGAGACGATGCGGGTATGCAGCAAGGGCTGAGACTCAAGATGTTCTGCTGCAGGGGCAGCGGCACACACCCTCCACGAGGAGGAACTGACAGGCTCATCGCAGCCATACAGGCGCGCAAGTTCTAGATGCCAGCCTAACTCATTTCGAAGGGAGGAAGCTTCGCGCATCGCCTGCAAGGTGATAGGGTCAACTGGGCCTTCGGAAGAAGCGCCCACAACAGATCGTTGCAGTGACTTCAAGAAATGCGTCACTGCTTGGTGCATTTGCTCATATCCCTGAGTCACCTGACTCCAAGATTCCTCTGCCGGGAGGTCTGCTTCCTCTTCACCTGAATCACACTCATCTGGAAGCAACTTCGACACGCCGTCTCCAGGAGAGGGTTCTCCGATGACGGAAGACGACGACAGAGGCTCAAGGTCCTGGATTGGCATATTCACCCATCTCAAGCTTAGAAGATCCGAAGACGTTAGCTTTTCAAGAGATCTAGGGGTGTAACCCAAAACCAGAATTTTGTCCCCTTCCCAACTTCCAGACTTGTGGAGATCACGCGGGGGGAAGCTAAGCCAGGCATTTGGCGGAAGAGGCATCTCCTGGCCACGAACCTCAAGGGAACCTGAGCCTTGCCCAACATTCCAAACCACATTCATTGACTCAAGGGAATTGTGAGAGTCCCGATGAATCTCTGACTCAATGTTGACAACAAAGCCAACAGAGGCAAAGCAATGCCCAGTGCGGTGGAAGAGGCTCACAGCAAGAAGGCGAGTGAGCCACGGGCACTCATGCACTGTATTGGTGATTCCAACCTTAGCACTGAAAACCCAAGCCCCGGAAGACCAGAACCAAGGAGGGAGCGTTGCTCCTGACGCTTCATCTTTCTGGTTCCCGGCAAGAGGGCGCTTCGCGATCCGATTGATCGCTTTCTTATCTTGAACGTACAAACGGATAGCATTTGCAAGCTGACCCGTGGAAACGGAGTTTCCTTCAAGAAGCACCTGCTTGCAGAAGGTCTCACACGGAGAGAACGCTTCTGTTGCCGACGGGGAACCACCAGAGCTAGAGAAGAGCCGGGCAACACGAAAGGCAGGCCCAGCATCAGGGTCCCGACGCGGAGAACGATCTCTCCTGTTCTCAAAGGGCGGAGGCCCTTGGGGATTGGGAACTGGGTTGCGACCGGTCTCTTCAGAAGAGCGGAACCGATCTTGCCATATCATGTTACTTTCGATCAGAAACCACTGAGGAGGTTGACCATATCGGATGGCCCGGTAAAGGTAGGCGCGACGATTGGGTTCGCCTTCAAAGTCGACGACCCTTTCGGTTTCTACGACGCCAAGGAGGTCAAGCTCGTACTCAGTGTTCTGATCATTCAAGCCACCGGGCTGATACCCAAACACATAGGGCACGGGAGCATTGGTATGCCGGTGATCCCAAATGATACGCACCTCAGGCATGGTGGCCCAATTTCGACCCCGAAGAACAAACAGTCCGATCATAAAGGCATGCTCGGGGTTGTGCATGGTGTGAACCAAACAGCCAAAGTTTTGCAGATCGAGCTCATTCCAGCCACTGGCTGGTTCATCGACTGGACGACCACGTTGGAGTCGTTCTGCTTCCCGATCACTCAGCACTGCATACTGCCTGTCCCATCGCGGAGTTGGAACATTCACATCCGCTCTATCATTATGATCAAGTTTTTTCAACCAAAAGTCATACATCGAAGGGGCGGGGGCTTCAGGCACCGTGGAAGTGGCTGTTCCTAAGGCGATGGCTTTAACCCTTTCAGGGACATCATAGCCACTCGCACTTTCAGGATTATCCTCTAACCAGCGGGCTATCATAGCTCCAACCACAATCCAGCCAACCTTAGGCTCAAGAGCGTTGGGAAGCATACGGCCTCCTCGTTGCTCGGACTGGAAACCCCGAATTGCATAATGCAACGTTTTTTCAAGATCATCATCATTCTCAAGAACTTCCACACAGCCCTGCAGCCCAATCTGAATGATGTAAGGGCTCAGCGGTGCACCTGACTGGAGCATGTGGCAAAGAGGATTGCTGGGAGGATCAATGGTCCATTCAGCGATGCTAGATTGCAGGGTGGAGTAAGTATCCACAGTGGAGGTGTTCCCAGAACTAGAAGACACCGGGCCCGTTGCTGACACATCCAGCGATCCTGAAGAAAAGCTGGACACCGAACCAGACGGGTCTGGGACCGCAGGAGCTTCAGCAGGCATGGGTGACGAGTAGCCTTGGCCGGGACGGTCGGCCGTACTCGAGGCCTCAGCACGCATTGGTGGCGGATAGCCTTGGCTAGATGAAGCGCTGTAGGACCCTGAGGAACTGGAGGCCTCGTCCTTCACTCGGAGTGCCCGAATATGAGGCGGGTCAATGGGACCAGGCACAGCCAAGGGACTGGGTGGCTCCTGTTCAAAGAGTCGCAAAACTACAACCCGAATCTCAGAGGTCCGAAAGTCCCTTATGGTGAAGGCAACTAGCCTATATCCCCAAATGCGCTATCATCAGCATACCAGCCATCATCATCATGGTGCTGAAGAACCTCAAACAACGGGGCTCGGCGGCCATCGGCATCTTGATATTCCATGGTGGGATAGCGATCCCAGCGGTGATTTCTCAAGGTACCCCGAAGAAGGAGGAAGGGGATTTCGGTATCCCCATCAACAGGATCACCAGGATCCAAGAAGCGGGTAAGGTCCGACATCTGACGTTCAAATTCCTCCTCTTCAAGATAACACACCGCTGCCCACTGCTCAGGAGACATGTAGGCAAAGGAGACCTGAAGCACACGGCGGTTGATGCCTTGCACATTCCTGCCACCGGGGGCTGGAGTGGCCTCAGGCATACGCTGTGGGTTCGGACCCACAAACCTTAGAACCCGATGCCCACAAGGCTCCCCCGGGCTTCTTGAACCCTCGCCCAAATTGGTAGGCGGCCTTCCCGGAGCGTCATCCGCTTCACGGGTTTCTGCAATCTCCCCCGGGCTCTCTGAACATGAGTCCTCTCCAGATTCCCTTCTATCCTCAGAAGAAAAAACCTCATCAGACGCAGCTGGATCTTCACAGACACCTTGCAAGGTCGAGAACTCCTGCTGGGGAACTTCCGGCATCCCAGCTGTCTGTGGATAGTCAGACGAATCTGACAAGAAGTCAACCGGCCCATCCGAACCAGCTTTCAAGGAATCCTCAGACTCAGAAAAACTCCGACGGGAAAATTCGCCCGAACCGTAAAAATCCGAAAAATCTGCTATGGCACTCATCCCCCCCGCAGCAGGAAGAGAAGGGCCTTGCAACGTGACCCGAACAGAAGGGCCCTTGGAGCCGTGACGATAGTGGGGCGTCGGCAAAAACGCACCTGTGCTGGAACCCGACAAGGGCTTCGGCCTAAGAGGAGGCTCAGCAGGCTCAGACGGAGGGCGCGGCCGGTAATCAACAGGATACACCGCCGACGTAATGCACACCGTGTCATCCTCAAACAGCACAAGGTACGAGGACAAGGTCTGCGGAGCCGGGCCAATCAGAACTCCAGACCTAGTTCGGGACATCCAAACATCCCTGTGGCGAAGGCGCTTGCGAGCCTCAACAGGCGTGCCGTAAGCCAGCAAAGACCTGGCCGCACCACCCAAACGAACAAGGCCCTTACGCCACATCACTTCTCCGGCATGTCTCACTGCCGTGGGCCAGTGGCACGAAGGCAGATTCGCCGAAAGAAGAGCTCTGCGGGCCGCTCGCTTGACTTCTCGAATCGCGACCTCAGCGGCGCCGTTTGAGGGATGGTCCTCAGGGGCTGTCCTTGTGGAGTGAATGCCCTGCTCGGCTAGAAACCTTTCGAGCGAATCACTCAAGTATTCCCGAGCCCTGTCGCTATGGAAGCGAAAGCACGGAATGCCAAACGCTCGGAGGCGGGCAACAGCACGCATGATTGCAAGCTGCACATTGAAGGACTGGCGGGTCTTCAGCGGCTCAGCCCACACCAAAGTCACAAACTCTTGACCATCATCAGAATCACTGCCCTCAGGCTGAAGCGGCGGAGGCTTGTGAGGAGATTTAACCTCAAAGCTCACAGGAAGAGCTGAGTCGTCATCTTCCCCCGGCGTGGAAGAAACCCCAACGGCCGAGCTTGGCTCTTCAAGGAAGTCATCCCCAAGCTTTGTGCAAACCTTAACCCGAGAAGGCTGCTCAGCATCCCCCTTTAAGGGCTCTCCAGTAACATGCACCGGCTGGTAGATCAAGCTTGCATGGGGATCCTCCTTATCCTGGGCCTTAGCCTCATCAACCTTTTCTTGAAAAGCTATTTCAGAAGACTTATCCCGCCACTCCTTCTTATCACTTTTGACCGGCACCCTTATTGTGAAAATCACAAAATACCTGCACGCTCCTCCAAAGTCCCGGCCCTTGTGGTACGGACCCGCAACATCACTGGAGAGCTCAAACAGATGCGGATGCTTCGTGAAGTGGGAGCGATCGCGGGAAGCTCCTTGAATGCAAATTGGGCAATCATTGCGATACGGCAAGTGATCTGCCTGGCAGTGCCTTTCCCAAACCTCGGGTGACATCTTAGCTACAGTGGCTTCCTGGCACAAGTTGAGAAGGACTCCTTCCCGCTCACGGGTGTGAGCCTGCAAGCGCTCAAAGCTGACACAGCAGTAGTCATCCCAGGCCCTCAGAACCCGGCTAACAAGCCCAGGAGCCCACTCCTTGCCGTAGAAGTTAGAAGCCGGGGCTTCAATCACCTCTGGAGGAAGCTTCAGCTCATGAAGAGACTCGTACAGCTGAAAGCTGCTGGTATACACGGCCGTGGCCTTAGAGCAGGGATGGCCAAGAGTGCCCTGGTCGAAGCTGGCGGTCCATCCCCCCAGACACACAGAAACATTCTCATACTCGGGCCATTCCCACGCAGTGGAAGTCTCAGGCATTTCTAAGCAGTTGAAGAACTTCTCTTTGGCACACGAGGCCACAAAGGTCAACAGCAGAGACCGGAGGAACAACAGGGTGTCCCGATCAACCAAAGCACGATCGGACGGGCTGAGGTCTGAAAACCCAAACCTATCATCTCCCTCTTCCCCTCGGAACTTCAAGCCATTTGAGGAGGACGCCAGGGCTTCAGGATTGAAGGTCCTGCTTGGCGGGCCACATACGACCCCATCGATGACACCCAGGGTGGCTGCCCGCAGCAGCATGCCAAACACATCATCAGAAAGAAGGTCCGACCCCCTGGAGATATCAACCTCAAGCACTTGGCCGACAGAATGTCGCCACCGCTGCTTTCCAGCAAACAGATGCACCAAGGTTGGGACCTGAGGATCAAACAGCTGTCTCCTGGTCCGACGGTTGAAAGGAACGCAGGAGGGATCAAAGGTGGGACTCACCGCAACCTGAGACGCTAACCTTTCTGGGAGCCCAGGAAAGAGGGTCTTAACGATCAGTTGCAGCTCACTTTCGCTGCACGAATCTGCAGCCACATGGGCTGCAACCCACTCCCTTAGGGAAGAAAGCCCAACCTCCTCCTGGCCAACTGATCGCTGCCAAAGCTGTTGCGACACGGCCCTTGAGGTCTCACGGCGCAAGAGGAAGCGCTCGTACTCGCCAATCAGGCGAAGCACCAGAAACTCTGGCAACTCAGGAGTGCCATCCTTGAGTCTCACCGGGAGAATCCCGAGACCTGGATGCCGCACGTGAATGCCCCGGTCAGTCCAGTTGATCTCACAGCCCAAAAGCGGCAACGCATGCATCGGCAAGATTGGCTGCACTGACTCCCTGACCAACAAAGTCCCGGCGGAGTTCACATGCATCAAAGCCTCGCCGACCGCGAGAGACACGCTCACCGGGCGGGACTCCTGGATTTCCTGAGGCGATGCCTGGCGGAGAGAAGCGGAGGCCCCGCTATCCAACAAGCCGTAGCCAGTCGGGTTGCTCACAGCACTAAGCCGCAAGGCCTTGGTCTTGATCGACCTTAGCACACTCAAGATTTCTGCATTGATGGCTGCGTTGCCATCCCCCTGACTCGGAGCTGCAGCCTCTGCCTGGTCATTCGCGGTCCCAGCAGGCGCGGTTTGAGGGTCTACGGTAGCAACCTTAGGTTTACCCCCAGGCTTGCCTTCCTTACCCTTACCTTCCTTAGCCTTACCCTTCGCCTTACCCTTAGGAGAGGAATCGGCAGGGGCCTTTGGTGTCTTAGGGCTAGTGGAAGGGGACTCCTCATTGGCAGCCTTAGCCTCCGCCTTTAACCTGGCTTTCACCGGGCATGAGTCCGCCCAGTGATCTTCGGCACTGCAACAGAAGCATCGACCCCGCATCTTTTCTTCATCCTGGTCGTGGTAGAACTGACAGGACGACCCGTACGTGCAACCGCTAGCCGTTAGCCAGCTTCTGCAAGGTTTCATGCCTGCACCCGGCGACTTGGGTCCCGCTGGAGAAGCCTTGGCCTTCGGGGTTCTGGGAGACGTCTGCAAGCGCTGCAAGCGCTGCTTCTTAGCATCATCCCCTCGGCCTTGAACCTCATCCTTCACAGGATTGTCATCTGTGGAGTGCATCAGGTGTTCAACCTCCGCCTGCATCATTCGACACAACTCCGACACAGCGTCGGATGTCGGCTGGTAGTCAACCCCAAGCCGCTCACGGAAAGTGGCAAGTCGGAAGAGGCTCGCGGAGTGCTTCTGCAACACCTTTCCTGTCAGGACATCTAAACCCTTAACCAGAAGCGTAGTGTCAGGCTCTGCTGCATGCAGTTGTTTCAGGCGCATCCGCCATTGGGTCCACTGCCTCAGCAGCTTTGCAGCCTCCGACAAAGTGGAAGCAGCCTTCGGCGTCACCAAAAAACGCAACATGGTGGATCGTTCTGACGCTCCCCCGGGCTGAAACACCGTCATCAGACGAAAGATCATTCCTGCCACACTCAGGTGGCGTGAGGCGACAATGTCAACCCTCACAGCATCCGGGATTGCCTGAAGAATCAAGGTCACGCATCGCTGTTCCAGCAAGGCATGCTGGGGCTGCACCAAATTTACCTGATCAAACTCCTTCTGGATCGACAGCCTTTCAAGCGGGGAAGTGGAGAGCCACCGCACGTAGGCCTGGTTGGCCGCCTGGTATGTATAACCCCACCAGACACTTCCGGTGTCTGACAGTGAAGAAATCATCGGCTGGACCACTGCGATCCAATCTCCAAGCGCGGTGGGGTTGTTAGGGTTGTAGGCCTCTAGGGACGGTAGGGAACTTACATGTTTACCCACAGCTTCAGGCCTAAGGTCCTTAACATCAACCCGACCACTATTTCCAACCGGCGGGGCAGCTATGGGAAGACTTAAACCCGAAGGGGCCGGTGGGCTCGGAGGCGGAGTGGACGAAGGAGGCCTCGGAGGAGGCGATTGGTATCGAGGCATTGCCGCTCCCGCGCAGGAGGAGACAGCATGGCAGGATGGCACTGGAAGTTGTGCTCCAAACGCAGGATGCTTCGGAGGAGATGGACTGTTGCTCCACGCCCCAGGAATGGACGGAGCTGCGATCAAGGGCGAAGTCCACTGCGGAGGAGGAGGAGGGACGAAGTCCACAGGCTCTACCACCTTCCAGCTATGATTAACTCCCATAACCCTTATTACCCCAGACAAAGTCGGCAACTGGGCACGGGGAGACAGAGCGAAGTACTGAGGTCCAGCACCCGCGGCAGAATGAAGTCCAAAGTCCATCGAAGGAACCTCGCCAGGAGCACTCGCAGTTGAAGTCAAAGGCACCATGTCCCCAGGAAAAACCATCGGTCATGGAGTAGGGGGAGGGGGGGTTGGGGGAGGGGTGAATGGGTTTATCCATAGCTTATCATCAAAAAAGGATAAGGAAGAATTGCTTTATCCCGCTGCTATCCTTGCCTTGTCAATCGAAGTATTTGACTCGAAACTTTGGCGTCAAACTTGTCCCAAATACTGCAACCTTGAACTCTTCAAATCATAAGAGATATTCCAAATCCCGACCGCAACAACAAGGTGACGAGACTTTAAAGCTCGAAACAACTGCGACAACCCAAACCTCAAACACCTAAACCCGTAATCCCCTGTTCCCTAAAACCCCTCACCCCCTTAAACCCGAAACCCTGGAAACCCCTAAAAAGCCTTATAATCCGCAAACTTAACCCCGGAGCAAGACACAGCCTTAAAACCCCAAGAGACCGACATTTCCGAACAGGTTGAAGTAATCAAGGGAGCCTGGCTGTGCCTAGCAGGTTCGTTTTGCGGTCCACTGGCGGCTCTACCGTGCGGCATGCTGCAGAACTGAAGCACAAGCGTGAAACGCAAAACGCAAACTGTCACGCAAGAGAGAGTGGTCGCTTGGGGATTTTCAGCTCATGCCCGGTGACTTACAAGAAACATTACTCATAAGTTTTGCTTTGGAATGCACCGGAACCACTAATAACCAAGACTAGTTCTTCTTGCGTCGTTTGGCGGCTGGCTCCGTCGCACCTGCCTTCGGCCGTGCGATGCGCAACTCGCGATTCCCTGCAGCGCTGGATGCGCTGGCCGCTGCGGGCGCCTTGGGCGCTGCACGTGCCGGCGCTGGCTCGTCTGCTGCACGCAGCTCACGGACGGCTGCTCGAACTTCGTCAAAAGTTGGCCTAAGGCGAGTGCTTTCCGGGGCATGGGGTGAGTTCGAGCAACTTGGAAGAGACAACTTTAATATTGTGACACTGTCGCGGCCAAGCTGCGTCACCTCCCCTTGTTGAACATGCTTTGCATAGTCGAAGTGGAGTTTCCATATTTTGCACACCACCTCGTAGAGGGCCTGCTCCTCCGACAGACGGCGTTGCACGCCATCCCAGGTGCAGCACCTGCTGCCGGCGCCCAGCCCGGCTGCTTTGTCGACTTAGCTGCCAATTCGTGGGGTTCAAGGTTTAGGGCTCGCAGGACCCGACAACACAGGACTAGGTAAGCCCTGCGACCTGGGTAGAACGCTTGGTATGTCTTTGCGACCGGATTCCGTTGCATGTAGACCTGCGGGATGCGCTTGCCCTTCCCAGGCAGCAAGTCATTCCTCGGTTCAACAGGCTCCAGGGATTTAGGATTGCCTTGACCCGGCAGCAACAGAGCCACGAGTACACACAAGGACACACAAAGCCCTGACCCTTAACACCGCTACAATCCCGAAAGCCCTCACAACCCTAACCTCCCACCAAGCTTGCAAAACCTGCAGATTCTAAGCAGCCGTGTAACCCAAAGACCCTACAACACTCCATCTCTCATGCCCTAAATTTTGCAGAGGTGCAAAGCACTCGGCGTGAAGTGGGCCTTCGGCTGATTGGGCTGCTTGCTTGCACCTGGCAAGTGGCTTCCTGAGAAGCGACTATTGTAGCATTGTACAGTACAGGGCATCTGGAGCCGGTCAATGTGTTCAGGGTTAGGACGAATTGCTGATGCTGGGTTAACGGCAACGGAACTTTCAACAGTCCAGCCACGAACCTCGACCGGCACCTTCGGCGTACTCGCGGATGATTTCTTGTCTCATCTTCTGCTCTTCGCATTTCTCCGCCATCGAGCGGAGCCCAGAAAAATTTGCCTGGTTCTCCGGATCGAGCGCTTTGATCCCGTCCAAAATATCCGCCGAGACGTCCTCCGGGTAGGTGGCAGATTTCCCACCTACCAAACCTTCGAGTATCCTGTTGAACTCGTCGCAGTCCTTGTCGAGGTCGGCGAAGACCACAGAGAGAAGGGCTCGTACATGATCCACTTTTTTGAGGCCTCGTTTTCCTTTCTTGCTCATCTTCCCGGTCGGGACCGGTTTGGGTGCATTGTTGGCTTTGCACAGCTTGGTTATCACATCCCCGTTCAGCACGCAGCCCGCGCGCAAGCAAGCCTTGACCAATCCCTCGACGGGGCTGCATTGGCGCAGCGCACAAACGTGACGTCGGTGAGGCAAAGGCAGGCATGCCGGGTGCATGACATTCACTTGACAGGCTTTCCATCCTGTCGCTGTCGCTGATGCCGTGCGGTTCCACAACCAATGCGGCTGCATCCGTCCCTGGACAACGTCCGCTGACACCACAAACATCAGCTCATCGCCGTCCGTCTTCCCCACGACGCGCAGCGGGACGGCTTGCGCAGCCCACCCACGGAAGCCCAAGGATAGGTAAGCAGTGTCTTCTGCTTCGTTCAGGATCACGAGGCCTTTGGAAAAAAAGACACCTGGATGGAGCAAAACACATGGCTCAGGAACACAACAGGACAACAGACCCCTTGATGAAATCGCGCCTGTCCAGTAGTCCGCGACTCCCTCAAAGCTGTCCTGCTCAGCGCACCTATGCAATGTCACCGTTGCGGAGGTCATCCGCATGTCAGCGATCGTGCCGGCCGTGCCCCATTTTTGCTTCACCTCTTCCAATGACCCAACCTCCAACTCCTTGGCTGGTGGCTTTGTCGCACTGAAGTACACACCGTACCGCTCCGACTTCTCCATGCGCGTCGTGTGGTAGTCGGATGGTGTGCAACAAATGTGCTTGTAGCCGTTTTTCAATGCGGAGCTGCACGTCGAGGCATAGAAGTATTTGCTCCACCTACAGGCACACTATAGATTGAGTAGTCCCGGCCCACGCAAAACGATTTGGGTTGAATTCTAACATGTGCAGCAAGTCCAGTTGCAGCCGAGTTGCTTCGACATGACTTGTGCACCTTTTTGGCTCCTCTGAGTTACATGTTGCAAGTGCGCAAAAGTGTCCTTGCAAGTGAACTTGGTGTTCGCGGGTCCAGCAAAACAGGAGAAAACCAAGCTGCGCAGCTCTGTGTCCTGCGCAGAGAACCTAGCATTGCGAACTGTTTGGATGGCTTCGAGCGCCAGCTGTGTCGTGTGCCACCACAGATCCTTCAGCAGAGCAGTCACAGCCACTGCCGTCGGACTGCCGGGCTCGCTTGCTTTAAGGCGATGTGCCTCTGCAAGCCCACGATCCAGGGTCCTCACAAAGTGCATCGCCGGCTCGTGTGTCTCGCGGGGCCCGAACACGGCAGACAGCGCAAAGGGAACGCACGTGCTGTACATGGCTTGGGACCAGCACCTGATGCACGCGAGTTTGCAGAAACCAAGCCCTGCTAGCGACAGCTAACCCCCCCCCCCTCACCCCTCACCCGAGCCCCCGAAATCCAAAGACCCAGTCCTGGCGCTGCTGATTTCCACAAGGACCTTCCACGTTGTGTCCAAGAATGCAGATTCCTGCTCAACCCAGCTCTCTTCTCCGCTTGCAGGGAGGTGAGATTGCCATACCGAAAGCCCGAGGCGATCAAGCGTCGCGGCGTTGTGTATCATGCCGAGTGTTCGGAGCACTGTCTTGTACCATGATCCCGAGCATCTTGCTGCAGTCCACTTCAGCTGGGCTGCCTGTGAAAGTCTTCGCTCACACGACCACTTGTATTGCGTTGGCTTGCAATTGCAGACAAGTCACCTGGCCTTTCTTCTGAATCTGGATGGCATCATAATACTCTTGGGCTGCTGGTTGTGTGGTCACATGGATCATCCGCAGACACTGCTGCAGCGACCTGAGACACAGGCGAACCCGGCAGGCTTTCGATTACAAACAAAGGAATTAATTAGAGCTAGCCAAGAAATCCGGCCTGTCTTGAAGCAGTTCGGCCGAGAGCTCCACGTTGTTGCGAAATTTCCCCCTCCATTTCTGGAACTCCTGCCTGTTGGTGGGCTGGGCCTCCTCATCATCACTAGCCTCCTCTGCGTCTGCGGGAGGTGCTTGGTCGTCATCCCAGGATTGGTCCACTTGGTCCTTACCACAGCCACGCGCATATGCGCGCGCGGACCACAGCGAGTCTTTGATCGAAAACAAAAATGCCGCCTAATTTCGGCAGCCAGAAAAGACAACAGCTCGGCCGAGATGGTCCACTCTTCGACCAAAGATTTGCATCGTTCCGTGAGGGCAAACCACCCCTTGTTCCGAATCTCGGCTGTTGTCCAATGTGCAACGGCAAGGCATCTGTGTTCAGGCCATGCGCTTCGCAAACGGTCTGTTGACTGCGAGTGAAGAAGTTTTGTTTCTGCGCTTGCAGACATTAACAAGGACTCAGGCAATGCATCCAAGCAGCATAAACTCCACGATTTTTCACGGATGTATGGCGAGCCCATTCGTCTAGATGGGTAGGCACGTCCCCGCTGCCCACCTCCTTCCCAAGGTCCAGCTTCATGCCTTCGCATAGATCGATCCATTTCTCACTGTCGTGTCGGAACTTCGCGATGAACTGCTGCACCAGCTCCTGCTTGCTGAGCCAGGTTCCACCTCCCTGGTACCTTGGCAGCAGCATGAATCATGCGTGGAAAAGTAGCTAGGACATAGATCCGGAAGCAAGGCTGGAGCGCTGGCAGAAGGTGTTAGCAAGCAGTCCATGCACAGTTTTGAGCAAGCGAGTTGCGGCCCGTGACTTGTGGCAGATAAAATCGTAGCCTTCAGAACTTGAACGGATAAGCCTGCTCTTGTCAAAGCGTTGCCTCAATGCGGGAGTGACTCGGTGGCACAAGAGACCGGGGAGCACACATGCAGCGACATTGTGATATTGTGACATGCGCGAGTTGATTGCGTGCAAGCCACGAACATCATTCCAGGAGGAGTGTAAAGGATCGCCCTCGAATAATGTTCGGGCTTTCGCCGGTAGAACCTTGAAGGCCTTGACACCCACCTTCTCCTGGTCTGCCACCTCAATCGGAGCCGTGCCAGCAGAGTCGAGTCTAATTTTCGACATGTCTATTTTGGTTTGCTTTGAAGGCTCTTTGTGGTGCTAGCGAGTGACCGCCTTGAGAAGCGGGCGATCTTTGGCAGCAGCCGGCTCTAACGGCATAGTCGCTGCGGAATACTCCAGTCGTCTTTCTGGCAGGAAGAATTCAAGACCCCTGCCTGTGCTGCTGTGCAGGGTCGTGTTGATGGCCTTCACGATCACCTGCAGGGAGGCTGTCATTCTAGCAGGTTCGACTGGGGCTAATAGACAATGCCAGTGTTCGGGCCATCCTAAACGTTTCCAAGGCCAGCTGGTCCAGTGCGTTACGGAGCTGCTGTAAATTCCAAACACCACACATTCTGCGGTCTTGCTGAGCCATCGAGCTGATCTATTGAATTAGCTGCTATTCTATTTTGCGGAAGGAAGAGGAAGGCCACAGAAACCCAGTGATAGCCTGGACGTGCTGCATGTTCGCCTTCGTCTTGCGAACAACGGTACCCTCCTCGTCATCCAGCCTGCAGCAGCTGCGTTACGAACAGGGCTCCAAAGGATTTGTGGTGATGCTGGTATCGGGCAAAGGACGACAGATGTTTGTAGCCATCGGAGTTCACCAGATCATGATCTAATGCAATGACTGCACATGGTGTGGCACTTCACCATTTGAATTTCGGTCTGCTAATGGCCTCAGTCAGAACGTGTCTATGGTAAACTTCCACAGCAAATGCGACATAACTTGAAGAGGACACAACTCTACAAAGCCTTGCTAAATGTCTGTGGGACACCTGGCTTGATTCGATTCAATTCCAATCCCTACATCCATACGTGGTCCTGTGAGTGGCACCCGGATCAATTCGAGCATTGGACTTTTCTACTTGAGACAGAACTTCCTGCGCAGCACCATAGCCCATCCCTACCCCAAAGCTACAAACCTCCTGTCTTTTATTTAATATCATATCAATCCAACAGTGTCTTCCGGGCTTAGATTAGGAGGTTTCGCAGAGGAGGTTTCGCAGCAGCGGGAGCTCAGGCTGCTGCATCGTCGCTCGCTTGCCTGTGAACTTCTGCACGGCTGGACTGTCGCTCTGCTTCGCCAGAGCCTCGGCGTGCAACCAAGGTTTGCTTTTGCTTGGCTTGAGGCCCACGCTTCGGTGACTTGGTGCTGCTGGACTCATTCTGTTTATGTGCAACTGCATCAGCAAATGTTGCAGGCAGGCTTGGCCCTTTTGTCCTGAACTTGCTGAGCTGTGAACCGAGCAGAACGCAGAGAGCTAGAGTCTGCGCTGCGGTCTCTCCAACTAAAGGCTCGCGTTGTGCCCAAACTAGGCCCCTCAGGCATCATGTAACTTGAAACATTGGTAACATGTTACTGCTGCCTAAGTCAGAACTGAAACTCGCAGCTGCTACTTCACTGGCCTAGCTTCTGGGCAGGACGGGTCGAACGTCTTCTGAGAATTTCTGAATCGGATGAGCTAACAAAATCTGCGATGGAAATGCATCCATCGTCCGAGGCCTGGAGAAAAGGCCCTGTCACTGCGGTGGCTCGTCCTCGTCGCCTTGTGTCTCTGGGATGCCCACCTCTGGGACGACTGCCTGCCAGGTGTTAGTCAGTCAGTTCTGGAATGCCCGTATAAGGACCCTCCCTTAACTAAGGCTTACAAACCTGGTACTAGGCAAGGTTTCGGCCCTTATCCTAAGCTTATCCTAGGCTTATCCTCGGCTTATCCTAGGCTCATCCTAGGCCCCCCCCCAGGTAATCCCAGCCCACAAAGGGGTTCTGCCCTTATCCTAGCCTTATCCTGGGCTTATCCTAGGCTTATCCTGGACTTATCCTAGGCTTATCCTGGGCTTATCCTGGGCTTATCCTGGGCTTTTCCTAAGCTTATCTTGGACTTATCCTAGGCTTATCCTGGGCTTATCCTGGGCTTATCCTGGGCTTATCCTAGGCTTATGCTGGGCTTATCCTGGGCTTATCCGAAGCTTATCCCAGGCCCCCTATAGGTAATCCCAGCCCACAAAGGGGTTCTGCCCTTATCCTAGCCTTATCCTGGGCTTATCCTAGGCTTATCCTGGGCTTATCCTGGGCTTATCCTGGGCTTATCCTGGGCTTACCCTAGGCTTATCCTGGGCTTATCCTGGGCTTGTCCTGGGCTTATCCGAAGCTTATCCCAGGCCCCCTATAGGTAATCCCAGCCCACATAGCCTTATCCTGGGCTTATCCTAGGCTTATCCTGGGCTTATCCTAGGCTTATCCTGGGCTTATCCTGGGCTTATCCTGGCTTATCCGAAGCCCCCGTACGTAATCCCAGCCCACAAAGGGGTCTTGCCCTTATCCTAGGCTTATCCTGGGCTTATCCTGGGCTTATCCTAGGCTTATCCTGTGCTTATCCTGGGCTTATCCTGGGCTGATCCTTGGTGGCAGGGGCCGGGCGTACGATCCCAGGAAATGCTGCTACATATTGATTAGACTGCCAAATAGTGAAGAACTTCCGCTGGCCTTGTGCACTCCACCTGCACCTTCTGGCTGACCCGCCTTGGCGGGGTCCTGAGGTGATACTCCCCCTTGAATCTCTTTGACAAACAAACCAGCATGAGCAAGTGCCTCGTAGCCGAATGCCTTCCATGTCCAAATCGGTTTGGCTTTCTTGCTGGGGGACACCACGAAGAACGCCCCAGGACGCTTGGAGTCTGCCTCACAGACAGCGTAACCAGGCTGTTTCAACATCTGGTGTTGGAGAGACTGAGTGATTACGAAGCGCTTTTCCTTGAATCAGTGACACGTGTTTCAGCTGGGGAAACATGAGGCGATGACTGGCGAGAGTAGTGTGCTTTGTGCACCGACATAAGTCCAATAGTCATCACTAGCCTAAGGCCTAGAGATGCGGACTGGGGTCCCTGAGATCTTGCTGCAGCAGCCAATCGTCTGCAGTGGTCGGCAAGGGTCGTTGTTCCTGAGTTGCCGTGTCTGTCAGGACGTGGGCCCGGCTCTGCTCGTCGAAGTGGAGTGTGAAGGGCTCTGTCGGCGCCGGCGGCTCGTCCTCACGGAAGATTGAAGGATCTGAGGATATCGTTTCGGAAAAGCAGGATTCAGCGGGTCTCCGGCTCTGCTTTTGTTTTAATAAAGCTGACATGAAGTAGGGCTAGTGGACGGTAACAACTCAGCCGCGTTCACCTTAAACTTCCTACTGCCACCACTGCGAAACAATACGCAAAGCAGTCCAGACTCAAGACACGGAAATGATTGGAGTTGATGCTGAATTCTGTCTTTGCTCCAGTTGATGACGAGTTTTACAAATGTAAGTAGAATACTGCTAGTCATTGGGGTCCTCTGAGGAGGACGGACAGTCGAGGGAGTCCAAGGTCCCCTGGCGGTTCTGCAAGGGCGTGGGCTCGGGTTCAGGGATCCGTTGTGCATAGCCCAGCCCACAGACGGAGCATGTCGCGCGCGACTCTCCGCAGGCGCAGCGACCAGGCAGAGTGGGTGGCGAAACCGCACCTGCGAAAGCTCCAGTGCTAGCAGAGTCCAAAGAGGCTACATTGCAAGATAAGATGGTGTTATCGTTGGCATAGCAGCAGTAGCAACAGCAGCAGCAGCAGCAGCAGCAGCAGCAGCAGCCGCAGCAAAGCTGACAACATGGATAGCAGCAGCAGTGAATGTTTTTACTGCGCAATTAAAAACTCATACCAAGAACAACACCATCATTTTCCTCCTCGTCGTCCTCACCCTCATCCTCGATCCTCCTCGTCGTCATCAGTGTCGCTATGTATGTGTTCGTACCAGATCCTCTGTAAGAGTCGCTGAATCAGAAGACTCAAATCGACACGTGCCACCAATCACGAAATCACCGGCCTGATGGCGCCATACCAGCAAGCAGCTGAGTGCCTGCGTGCGCCGCTGCAAGAATCTTGGCCGGTGCGGCAGCCTGGCTCCGAATCGGCTGGGGAACGGGTGCGGGCTTGGGCTGGCTGGGCTCGCTCTGGCTCTGCTCGCCCAAGTGGAAAGCCACAGCACGCGGTGTCAGGAGCGCTTTGAAGTGCTCTCTCTGAAGCATGGCCACAGGCTCTTGCTTCGGGTTCACCGCAGGCGTCAACACCTGATCGCAGTAGAGCACCTTCGGCGCAACTCGCGACAAGCCTGGGCGGGCACAGTGGGATGTGGCTTAGATTGTTTGAAAGGTGCGGGGGGGAGTTCCGAAAACCTGAGAAAACCATTCGCCCCAACATAAACCGAAGTCTTATGTCAAACTGAACAACGATAGGCTTGACTATCAGACCATAGCCCCAGGACCTTAAAACTATGATCTAAAGCTTGTAAGTTAGTTAGTTATGCAGGCTTTACAGAATGAAGTTAAGTAGGGTTATACCTATTCACCGAATTCCGTCAATGTGTTGCATTCCCTCAATGTGTTGCAATCAACCACACCGCCAAGCCCCAACACCCCCCGAACCTCTGAAGCCTATGGTGGATCCGTCCGCAGGATTTCGGAGCCCCCAAACCCCGTTGATGCTCATGATGCTGGGTCGTAGGGTCCCACAGGGCTGTGGACAGAATCCGCCCGCAGGATTTCGGAGCCCAACATACCGATGCTAAACCTTCTAGCCAACCTGTAGACCTGACCAAGGACCCTCTAGGCCCTCTTTAACGGATCAACATATCCAACCTAGAACCTTCTAGGCCCAATGTATTAAAGGCTCCGCGTAGCTAGCATAGGACCCTCTGGGCCCCCTTACCTAGCACCCTCTGGGGCCCCCTCTATAGGATCAGCAGAACTAACCTAGGACCCTCTGGGCCCCCTTTACAGGATCAGCGGAACTAACCTAGGAACCTATGGGCCCCTTTCAAACGACAGCGTAACTCACCTAGGACCTCTGGGCCCCCTTCGCAACTAACCTAGGACCCTCTGGGCCTCCGTTGAAAAATCCTCCAACCCCGAGCCCAAACCAAGGATGACTGTATTTGTGCCCAGCAGCTGTCTGTGGCGATGACGTAGGCTCGGCCACTGATCGTCTCTAGGCGCAAGCAGTACGTCTTATGATACGGGCTATCCAAGTGACAGCTAACGTCAACCTCCGCCCGTTATCGAGCATCCACGCGGCCCCATGCTTGTTGAGCCGAAAGCTGTCCTGACCTCCTTGCCAGGCTCGGCAGAAGGCGTGAATGGTCTCTGCGGAGATGTGGTCCCCCGGTCGCTGCCGTCTCGTATACTGCTGTAGCAGCGTGTTTCCGGTCTTTTCCGCGTTGCCTTTCCTGGAGCTAGCAGAGGGGTTGTCGTGCACTGCAGGATCAATCTTTTCGCTGTTTGGTTTTAGTTGAAACAAGTGTCTCTTCTGCAGTCAGCTTGTCTTGCGGGTGCTTGCCCCAGTACCACCAAGCAAGGTTGTGGAGCATCTCGGCGGGCAGCGTGTCCAGGTAGCTGTTGTTCGCGAAGTCTCCCTGATCACAGAAACTACTTGATAATAAACGATTTCAGAGGTTGCATGCAGTGACTGCGTGTCAGGCAGACTACTGCCACTTGAAGGCCAGTGGCTCCAGACTTGGCCAACATGTCTTTGAGGATGTAGTCCTGACTGTCTCACTCTAATCTTAAAGAATCTCAAAACAGCACAACCACGGCTCATTACACACAAGAACAAACGTCAATAGGTGTACATTGTAAGTAGGCCCCCTGCTGTGATCCCGCACCATTGAGTCGCATAGATGACAGGTCCAGCTTTGCCCTTGGCCTTCGGGTCAGCCTTGCCGCCCGTCCGGCGTCGCCGCTTGTTTGCGGTGGTAACAGACTCTGGCTCCTCGTCTGGGTTTGCAGTTGGGTCCATAACTCCAGTCGGGACGGGAACAGAGCCAGCAGCAGCAAGAGCCGGCGGATAATACCCCGGTGGCGCCGCTACCGACACACCCGGTACCATGCTCATAGCACCACCTGGCATGTATCCAGGGGCCATTGGGGGGTAGTGACCCGGGTGCAGGCTTGCTGGCGCAGGTCCTGCGCCGGTTGCTGCAGCACCCGGATTGTGCGAGGGATAGCCACCCGGGGGAAGGCCAGCACCGCTGCCACCACAGCCACCACTGCCCAGAGGAATCATGTGCACGGGTGTTGTCGCAGTCTCAGACTTGACAAAACAAGTTCAACAAGGCTGATTTGGGCCTAAGATCTCGAAGCGCGATTGAATCATATTCAAAGTCCTTCGTGCGGTGGCCAGACGCGCATGCTGCTATCGTCGTAATAAACCCCATACACAATTATGCAGATGCAACTCTTAGTGCCCCGAGTAGTTTGCCAATTGCTGCACATGCTGCACTCTGTGCACATAAAGTTCCCTGTCCTGACTCAACTGTCACAGTCAGCTGAAGCATACAAAGCATATTTCATCCGTCAGCTGTCTGCACGAAGCACACGGTTGGCCAGGTCAAAAAGAAGCCCACCTAAGTCCTTGCAGCCAAGCTCGGGTCCCTGTTTTTGGGTGAGCTCCTCAAGCCACATGAACTTCAGGGACAACACTGAAGCAGCTCAAAGCAATCATCTGCACCAGGCATGCGCACTGAAGGGACATGGCGTTGCCCAGCAGCTGGGCGGCACGCTTCGGGTCGCGAGTGCCCATGGCCGGCACCAACAAGGAGCTCGCCACGTGCCGCTCGACAGGGAAAGTCATGCTCGCAAGCCTCAGATAACGCAAACAGATGGAAACACTGCCTGTGGGTCCAACGAATCAATGACATGGCAGTTTGATTTGCATGCGTATATGTATATACAATAACACACAAATCGTTTACGGACCCTATCGGTCTCACTTGCAGGGCTGGGAGCTTCTCCGCAGGCGTCATCCAGCGTTTTTCGGCTGGGAACCAGATTTTGCCGTTGTTGCGTCTCAAGACAGGGATCCTCTTGCTCACAGCACTCCAGGTCACCGTGAAGGAAGGGTCGTCTCCCAGGAAGTAGCACAAGTTCGGGTTGCTCTCAGGTCGCTCCCCTGTTCTCTGCACATACATCTCGTCTAACTCCTGTACTGTGCGAGTTTCCCTGTCTGTCAGTAAGTAGGACAGGTCGAGGACGTTCGAGCGGAAGGCTCGGCCGGTAGCACCTCATGCAAAGATAACGGAGTTGTTGCATTGAACTCTGCCGTTGTGCTAGTGCCGATACTACAATCACCAGGCCAGGGGCTAGGGTCGCAAAAGTGACTGGAGAGGAGGGGAATATCTGCGAGCTGGGCTGCTTGCTGTCTCGTAGGCTTCGAATTGGACCTCCAAGTCCCCAGCTATCAAGTAATTCCGAGGTTCTGTGTGGAAGCGCGCACGCACATGATCGGCAACATTCCTGAAGAGCTGCACGGTGTCGGCGAGCACCCGTGCTGATTTGGTCACCACGATGACGTACAACCTCGTACGGGAGACGCCGCTGTGACCGATGTCAGCAGGCTCCACACGCAAGGGATACACGTGGTAGAGGTCTCCTAGGAGTTTGTCCAAAATCGGCACATGGAAGTCCTTGGCTGCAGCGCACAATCTAGCGAAGCACCGGTGGCTTTAGACAACAGGAACAGCTGCGATCCTAGTGGCGGGCGTGTTCTCCAGCACTGCGAGAGGAATGTTGTAGCGCCGAAGCCGCAGGGCCCACACGCAAAACAACCGTCCTGTAGGGCCTTCTTCAAAGAGACGTGGTCCGTTGCATTGTTTCATCAGTGATGTCAACACAGGGCAGACCAGACATGTCAAAATCAACGTGCGGCACCACACAGCTGCCGCCGTGCGACATGCATTGCTGCTGCTGGATCGTGTCGGCTGAGAAAATTGCAGCCCTCGCTTCGTCAAAGCCTCGGGGATAGCGTAGACTGAAAGCAGCGCGAAAGCCACAGTGATAGCCGCTTAATTACATGTTGAGTTTACGAGCCAAGTCAAGAAGCTTTCCAAACCACTGAGGGTGCCATCTGGCACAAGTTTCATCATGTCACCAAAGACGCACGGCATGGGCGTCTGCCGGCCGGTGGCGTGGTTTGCCCAAGCATGGTTATCGATGATGCACTGATAGCATCTTTTGTTGATCTCCTTAGGGCAGGACAAACAGCAGCCAGCAGGTTCAACTCCGAACAATGAATGCTGCTGCATGCGGAAAGTGAGCCTGAGAGCAAGTCCCAGGCAGCTTTCGTCTTGAAACGAATCTTCTGCTCAAAGTACATCGATGCATTCACGATCCTTGCTGCGACAGCCAGAGCAGCCTCAGCTGTGTAGACCCCTGTACACATGGAGCTTGTGGAACTGGTGGTTGTCCACATGGACTCCTGCAGTGCAATCGAAGAGGGTTGTTTTCAGTGAGAACTCACTGAAACGAGATTGCGCCGAACCCGCCTCAAGTTGTGCGACGTTCCTGCTGATGAAGCGCCACGCAGCCTGTGCAATGGCATGGTGCCACCGTGCACTGCACGAGCAAATCAAATCTACGTGGGACGACAACATGAATGAACTCCAACTGACTCAACCGTTCGTTGATTCGCAGGCCTGCAAGCCTTGGGAAGCAGCCGCAAGCTTCTCGGCATTCTCCGTCGAAACCAAGTCCTCCCAACAAGTACGGCAAAGACATTTCTAGAAGTAAATGTGCGAGGCCGGATGAAGTCCTTCCGAAAGAAGGCAGCTTTGATGCAGGACGTGTCGGTAGCCGTCGTCCAGGAATCAGTAGAGGAAGCTCGTTTCATGGTGCAGCAACTTTCTCTACAGACATCCAACTATGATACACAATGCTCTGAGTCACTGAAGAGCTTCTTCGACTTTTCCGATTGTTCTAGCACCTACACGTATTGTATGTGCAAACATGGCAAGTGTCACATGTGGTCTTGCAGTTTCAGAGACCAAAGAGGCAACGGAAGGCGACTGTGTGTAAGGAGGCTTCGCTGCTAGAAATACAACACCAATCAAGGCCCTGACCAGTGGAGGGGCAAACCCGCCCAAAGCCTTCCAAGGACCTGAGACCGTGTGTCAGAAGATGCGCACGTCCCACCTGGCCGCAGCTAGGACCCTGCAATGACTTGTGGCTCATGTGGCAAAACTCGACAGCCGCACGTGAAAGATTTTCTGGTCCCGGAACTCCGCTCTCATTCGCTCAGCATAAGGAACCTGAGCCACAGCAACGCATTCCTGGAATCCGTGATTCTCCAGAAATTGAAACAAGGAGCCATCTCGCGCATGGCAAACATGCAGGGCTTGGTGGGCCACTGACCCAACGCTGATCGGATGAGCGACTCCTTCCAGCAAGTGCCCCAATTTAAGACGTGCAAGCCGTGACTCGTGAAAACAACTCTGTCCTCTCCAGATCGCGAGGGGCGTGGCGAGTCTTGCCCGGGGCAAGCGCAAGGCTCAGGCCCTTCGTGTCCTGCAAGCGGCTGCAAGCAGTATAGTGTGCTGATGTTGTTGCAGATACTAGTCAGAGAAGCATGCTGCATCAGTCCAGCTGTTTTGCGATCTGCGCCAGAAGGCTGTAGGCAATGGCACGTAGCATTTTCACATCCTCAGTAAAGTTGTCCGGCTGCAATCCATGACACCTCCAGGCCACACGAGACATGTGCACAAGAAACCATCTGCATATTGGTCACAAATCAACGTCTGGCCTGTGCAAAGCAAAGGCCACAACGTCTGCCACGTGCGGCACAGACTCCGGAGTCTGCACCAAGCTATCGTCTGGGTCATCCTGAATGCGGACGGACATATTGTTACACTTACAGCATACACTTACTGTATCTTCAAAGATGGGCTTGAATGTAACAATGCCAATACTACAAAACATTTCAGCAGTCCATGATTCCAAGCGCTCCCGCCAAACCGCTTGCAGCGTATCCGTGCGTTCACACGTAGCTCCCCAGAAAAGTCTTCCATCCAGCGTCCCCTCTCCACTCACCCGGCAACTGCGAGCACGAAACCACTGCAAGTCCAGAAGGGTGAGAGAGAATTCCGATTTGCGCGCCAGCATTGTCACTACCTCCTTAAGAAAACGGTGACAGCACCGGGTCGTGCTGGGGTACGTCTGCGACTCTCCAAGCTTAGCGGCCAAAGCTGAAATCATGACAGACGTGTCGCAAGTCCTCTCAGACATGCGTCCGGCGCTTTCTCCATCCTTGGTTTTCGTTGGAAGAGGCTCTGGGAAACTGATGCCCGGCCAGATGGCCGAGTGCCACTCCTGCACCAGGGTCTGCGCAGCGCTCTTGTAGAATTCCTTCTTCAGTTGCTTCCGGCGATCGGCTTCAGTGCACGACTCGGAGCGGGTCTTGGACTCTTCATAGCAAAGAAGCAAGAAATACGGCACACACCATTGCAATTGCCGGTCCTTTGATACGCTGCAAGTAGGAAGAAGGAAGCAACGCCAGTCAGCGCAAAGCCACAACACTAAACTCGAGATAAGCTGCACGCACATGCCATACCGGGATGCTGCGATTCAGAACCGTCACTTGACTTAAAGGGGGGGTACTTGTGCTGACTATGCAAACGACCATCGTTCGGTGCCGCATCTAAGGTAGCGGCGCTCCTCGACTATGTGCACAGCCGCTCCGGCCATTGCTGAAGTATACTCGTATACTGCTGCCCGTGTTGTGGTTCAATCCACCATGCTTAGGCTTCGGCCACATGGTTTCAAGGGCTACGACGTAGCTCTTAGGACCCTTGCTTGTCTGATAGTTTTGCGCTCTGCTGCTCCTCTCGGGAATCATGCTGCGCGATTTGATGCGGCGAAAAGTTTCCGACATGAGACGCCAGACATGCCGAAAACAGCTGCAGCACTGCACCCAAATTCGGACTAGGACATTCTCGGGGGTTGCTGGGCTTCAATCTCTCCTGCCCACGGAGCTACCGGGGTTTGGATGCAGGTTTTGGGCGAAGGTCATGTTCCGTTGCAACAATCGCCCACGTCATGGATTCGGTTTACAGCACGATAGTGACAGGTTAGCAAAGGCTCGCACTATCCTGTACTTAATAAGCACTTATCCCTTGCTTATAGGATAAGATATGGGTAAGCCTATTCACCCCTCCCCCAGTTAGGTTAGGGCTTGCCCCATGTTTATCTTCGTCCCGCCAACGCCTGATGCATTATTTCCCTAGGGGGTACCCTAGGATTTCAACATTTCCATAAATTTTTGCCCATTTTTGACATCCGCCCCTCGCACATTTCACCATTAAAATTTCATAAATTTATGATAAAAAAATATCATAAAATTTTATCATAAATTTTATTACAAAAATTCATAAATTTTGTGATATTTTTTGTGATAAATTTTTTATAGCATGTTTTTTGCTCTTAAATATGGTTCTAGTTCATCTAGTGAGTTTCGTATAGTTTTAATATAATCATCATCCCATGATGATGTGTTAAGTTTCTCTTTCATTTTGTTCATTATCGTTTCTTGTTTTTGCAATAACAAGTATTTTTTCATTCCATATTCAACGCATAAGTTATCTAGGTCTTTTTCAAAAGGTTCCATTATCTCTTTGTATTTGCTTTTACCAGCGTCTTTGTCTGTTATAATTTCCTTTATTACTTTCATCATATATATATTACTATATATTTTTCTTTTTAAAACTTTTAAAACTTTTAAACATATTTGTCGCCTTCCTTTACAACCTTATAATATTCCATGGTTTCCGGTTTAGGTTGTAAAATTGCTCCTTCATTTAATTTCTTAATATAAGCGTTTCTTTTGTTCGTGTATGATGCTTCATGATTTGTATTTAATCTGGGTTTAGGCTTTTCAGTTAGTATTTCAAGTTTTTCTAAAACTGTATCCATGTTGCGGGTTAGTTCTAAAACCATACTGTAAATCTTTTCACTGAATTCTTCAAATTGTTCATTCTCTGGCACTTCTACTTTTTCTTCAACCTTACTTTTATCGACTGGCATATATACAATATTATATAAAAGTTTTTTTAAAACTATATATTTTTTAAAACTTTTTAAAACTTTTCTTTATCGCTGGCGTTGCAGTTGCACTTTTTACAATATGCTATGCAATTGCTTATTGAATGTGTTTGATCGTTAAATTTCCGCTGTGCGGTTAAATTCGTCCTTATATTTCCACCTATTGATTTAACATAAAAATCTACACTACATTTTTCACAACACCCATTCAATCTATTTAATAACCATTCTGGGGTAATATAATTCTTATGATCTATTTTTCTTTTTGCTTTTCTGTCTTGTTCTTTATATCCCTCTACCTTTCTCTTCAAATAATTGTAAATACTGTTTTTATTAAAATCAGTATTGTCATCGTCGTCATACTTGTAGAAACTTACATTATTTAAATCAGTAGACCTCGTTATTGCACTGTATAGCCAGTTTTTATCCACCAGACAATGATTATAATCAAATATTGTTATACCTCCTTCGATGCTTGAACCTTGGACGCTATGGCAGGTAAAACAATAATTGAATATAAAATGCTTCCTCAACATATCTAGCGGTAATTGTTGAATTATTTTAGTGTGCTCATCTTCTAAAACCACCACATTTTCAATTATGTTTAAAATCTTGTATTTAAAATTAACTTGAAATTTATAAGTTTTTGATTTTAAATACTCTCTACATATCATTATTTCTCCTACTTCATATTCACCTTTTCTATTTTGCATTTTTCTAATTTCATTTGCAACTTCCCTACATGTATCATTTAAATATGCTACATTATTACTGTTTAAGTTTATGTCAGATGTGTATTTAAAATATTTTTTTACTAAATCCCTCGCTTTAATATTATTTTCAAAAATGTCAATATAAATATTTTCTAGTTTTTTCCTGTCTTCCTCTTTCCTTAATCGTTTACAAATTTTCAGATAAATATTATATTTAAATATCTTATCCACGCAATTATCGGCGTATTCTTCGTGCTCCTGTAAATTAGTTAATTCCGATACTGGTTTTAATTGTTTACCGTCTCCGGTAGCTACTATTATTTTATCTTGGTTAGTTTCTACAAATTCTCTAATTCTGTTTAATACCCTTAAACCATTAAAATAAATCTCGTCGAACACTATGACATCATAACCTGAATAATCAAACTTTTCTAATTTCTCGTCGCCCACAGCTATAGAAAAGAATTTATTTACTGTGATTGCTTCCTTGCCGTATTTTTGAACAAGTTTATTAGTAGGACATACAAATAAAACACTCATACCCATATCAGCCATTTTTTCACATATATAACTCTTTCCTGAACCTGCATATTTTGCTCTGATCATAACATGTTTGGCACTTATAACATTTGCTATTATATTTTTGGTGTCATACTCGTCTTTAATTTCTATTGCTACATTTTTGTAGATAGGTATTTTATTTAATTCGTTTTCTTTTTTCTTGTATTCCTCGGGTGGTAAAATTATATCTTCTCCTTCTTTGTTTGCCCTCCATTCTCCTATGCCGGTTTTCATTTCTAAAATCTCTCGTGCTTTATCAACATCCCGCGATCTTATTACAAATGCATCAGTTTTAACACTCATAACTGATACAAAATTTTTCACTAGTTTATTATAATCATGAAGCATTTTAAAATTATGATCTTGAAGCAACAGCTCTTTTATATAAATAAAGCCATTGTGTAATGTTGCACTATCTGATAAATTCACTAGATAATAATCCATTCCGCTGGGTTCATCATACATACATGAATAAATATTTTCATCTTCTCTTTCTCCCCTATATAATGTATCATAATAACATTTCACCTCCTCTATCTTATGTATTTTACCTCCGTGTTTTAATTGAAAATTCGATGCCTCCTTTAAGTTTTTAAAAACTGTGCTTCTCTGTGAGGTGTTCTCGGTTTTTTCTAAAAGCCCGATATTAACATTTACAATAAGTTTTTTAATGAGTTTGTCCATTTCCTCCTCGTCGCTAATGGATTTTCCCCATAATTCCTGAACTAATTCGTTATAGTTAACATCGTGTATGAATGAAGGCGTTTTATAATACAATATTTTTAGATCGTTTGCTTCAATCTGTTTTAAATATTTTCCATAAATTAAGTTGTATTTTTTATTAAACAAGTTGAGAAACACTGTAAAATTAGGCCTAGTTCTTTTACAATCTTCAACTAAATATAATGTATAATCTGATAATATGGTATAATCCATGTCATTAGTGTAAGGTCTCCAGACGTCAAATTGATTAAATACCGGTATTTTATCAATGTTAATTAATCTACTTGTGTATGCTTTCGTGATATCAATTTCTGTAATATCTTTCTCTATGTATTGCCTAGGTTTGAAAAGTCCTGTTTGTGGTATGGTTTTTGCTTCTTTGTAAATCTTCAGGTCAACTTGATTATAAAATGACTTGTGTAATGGATTAAATAAAGCTTTATTGAAATTAAACATGGCCTCGTTCATATTATTATATGTTTTTTCGTCATCTACTGCTATGCATCCATCTGACGACCCCTTAATTAAATTTTGAGTTTTAATTATGAATGTGGTCTTCTTAAGTTTAAGCTTCACTTCTGTAATAATCCCCGCTTGAAATTTGATTTGCGGTTCATATCTTGAGTTCAGGAGTTCAAAAAATATTCTGGTCAGGTTGTTATGTTCAGGAACTAAATAATATGTTATTGGCTCTTTTTCTTTACTGACCATTTTTAAGAGTTCATAAGTATCTTTGAACATTTTGTATTTCGGGGGTTCTTCCTTTTCGTTCAAATGGTATTCGGTAGATGCTTTAACTATGTATTTTTGTTCTTCTGAATTTTGCTTCTGTTCAATGCTTTTTAAGTCGTTATTCATTGTGTAAATGTGGCTGTTTTTGACAATGGCATAAAAGGGCTTAATTCTTCTTTTGTTATGTTCCGGTTCGTGTTTGTAGATAAGGTTGTTAAAGCTATCAAAAATTCTAGCTGGTATTTTAAACTCCTTGAATACCTTATCCATGTCTTCAATGCTAGCACCTTTGCTATAAAAATCCTCCTTCCCTGTGATCTCTATAATTTTTTCTCGTGTTAATTGTTTTCTCTTGTTGCCGTCCATTAGGGTATCTTGATAAAAGTCTATCAGTGCATTAAACCAACACTGATTATCTACATGTGTGTTATTTTCTATTGCATGTTTTAGGTTTGTTAAATTGCTGTTAATATGTGTATATATGTAGCGATGAAACATTGATGAGTGCAGTATTCCATCGGTTAAGTTCTCTTTCATTATGTCAAATTTCTCACCGCTTTTGCTTATTTTTTCTACTTGTTGAATTTTGATAGCGTCAAAAAGATTATCATAATGTTGCATTAAATCCTTTACAAAATCATCAAAATCTTTGTCTTTTCTTAATATATCCATAAGTTCATCAAACTCTTTATCCACCTTAAGTAAATCTTTAGTTTTAAAACCTTCTTCATCAATAAATCTAAATATTACCTTTTTTACCCATTCCTTTTTAAACTC